GGTTCAGGCTAGGCGCTGGTTTCAAAATATCAAGGGATGATTGCCTAATTACTAAAATACACTGTATTTACGCTAAAAACGCTAAATCATAGAGATAAGGCTAAGTATTTGTGACACTCATATCTTGCTGTGTGTTTATCCGTCTGGAGCGTATTATATCTCGTTGGAAAGATAGATCGGAGCTCTAAAGCTATTGTTCCAACTTCATTTACAATGCATTAATTAAAAGTTATAGATTCACCATATATTCACAAATGTTTCGTGCGAAATATAGTCCCAAATACTTAGCCTTATCTCTATGATTTAGCGTTTTCAGCAAAAATAGAGGACTTTTAGCGTAAATACAGTGTATTTTAGTAATCAGGCAATAATCCCTTGATATTTTTAAACCAGCGCCTGAAGACAAGTTTTAGAACTCGGTAAGATCTTTCCAACGAGATATTAAACGCTTTCAACAGCACAAAATGGAGCAAGATATGATCGCATCAAATTCTACTTAAACGCTTTCAACGGCACAAAATAGAGGAAGATACATATCATGCTCTATTTTGTGCCATTGAAAGCGTTTAATATCTCGTTGAAAAGATCTTACAGAGTTATAAAACTTGTCTTCAGGATCTGGTTTACGAATATCAAGGGATGATTGCCTAATTACTAAAATACACTGTATTTACCTAAAAGTGCTCTATTTTCGCTGAAAACGCTAAATCATAGAGATAAGGCTAAGTATTTGTGACACTCATATCTTGCTGTGTGTTTATCCATTTGGAGCGTATTATATCTCGTTGGAAAGATAGATCGGGGCTCTAAAGCTATTGTTCCAACTTCACTTACAATGCATTAATTAAAAGTTACAGATTAACCATATATTCACAAATGTTTCTGATTTCACTCCGAACTCGTGTAGAATTTGATGCAATCATATCTTTCTCTATTTTGTGCCGTTGAAAGCGTTTAATATCTCGTTGGAAAGATCTTACCGAGTTCTAAAACTTGTCTTCAGGCGCTGGTTTCAAAATATCAAGGTATGATTGCCTAATTACTAAAATACACTGTATTTACGCTAAAAGTGCTCTATTTTTACTGAAAACGCTAAATCATAGAGATAAGGCTAAGTATTTGTGACACTCATATCTTGCTGTGTGTTTATCTGTTTGGATCGTAATATATCTAGTTGGAAAGATAGATCGGAGATCTAAAGCTATTGATCTAACTTCATTCACAATGAATTAAATAAAATTTACAGATTAACAATATATTCACAAATGTTTCTGATTTCACTCCGAACTCGTGTAGAATTTGATGCGATCATTTCTTGCTCTATTTTGTGCCGCTGAAAGCGTTTAATATCTCGTTGGAAAGATCTTACCGATTTCTAGAACTTGTCTTCAGGCGCGGGTTTCAAAATATTAAGGGATGATTGCCTAATTACCAAAATACACTGTATTTACTCTAACATTGCTCTATTTTCGCTGAAAACGCTAAATCGTAGAGATAAGGCTAAGTATTTGTGACACTCATATCTTGCTGTGTGTTTATCCGTTTGGAACGTATTATATCTCCTTGGAAAGATAGATCGGAGCAAAAATAGAGCAGCTTTAGCGAAAATACAGTGTATTTTAGTAATTAGGCAATCATCCCTTGATATTTTGAAACCAGCGCCTGAAAACAAGTTTTAGAACTCGGTAAGATCATTCCAACGAAATATTAAACGCTTTCAACGGCACAAAATAGAGCAAGATATGATCGCATAAAATTCTACACGAGTTCGGAGTGAAATCAGAAACATTTGTGAATATATGGTTAATATGTAACTTTTAATTAATGCTTTAGATCTCCGATCTATCTTTCCAACTAGATATAATACGCTCCAAATGGATAAACACTGAGCAAGATATGAGTGTCACAAATACTTTGCCTTATCTCTACGATTAGGCGTTTTCAGCGAAAATAGAGCACTTTTAGCGTAAATACAATGTTTTTATTTTGGATTTTTTTAAAGAACGATTTTATTCATAATAAAAAGGTGCAGGGCAAGAAGATAAATAAAATGAAAGATACAGAGAGTAAAAGAGAATATAAAAAACTAAAACTAGACCCAACTTAAGCTTTACAGGAAACCTTAGCGTAAATACAGTGTATTTTAGTAATTAGGCAATCATCCCTTGATATTTTGAAACCAGCGCCTGAAGACAAGTTTTAGAACTCGGTAATATATTTCCAACAAGATATTTAACGCTTTCAACGGCAACAATAAGACCAAGATATGATCGCATCAAATTCTACACGAGTTCGGAGTGAAATCAGAAACATTTGTGAATATATGGTTAATCTGTTCCTTTTAATTAATGCATTGTAAATGCAGTTGGAAAAATAGCTTTAGATCTCCGATCTATCTGTCTAACGAGATATAATACGCTCCAAACAGATAAACACACAGCAAGATATGAGTGTCACAAATACTCAGCCTTATCTCTATGATTTAGCGTTTTCAGCGAAAATAGAGCACTTTAAGCGTAAATACAGTGTATTTTAGTAATTAGGCAATCATCCCTCTATATTTTGTAAACAGCGCCTGAAGAAAAGTTTTAGAACTCGGTATGATCTTTCCAACGAGATATTAAACGCTTTCAACGGCATAAAATAGAGCAAGATATGATTGCATCAAATTCTACACGAGTTTGGAGTGAAATCAGAAACATTTGTGAATATATGGTGAATCTGTAACTTTTAATTAATGCATTGTAAATGAATTTAGAAAAATAGCTTTAGAGCTCCGATCTATCTTTCCAACGAGATATAATACGCTCCAAACGGATAAACACACAGCAAGATATGAGTGTCACAAATACTTAGCCTTATTTCTATGATTTAGCGTTTTCAGCGAAAATAGAGCACTTTTAGCGTAAATACAGTGTATTTTAGTAATTAGGCAATCATCCCTTGATATTCTGAAACCAGAGCCTTAAGACATGTTTTAGAACTCGGTAGGATCTTCCCAACGAGATATTAAACGCTTTCAACGGCACAATATAGAGCATGATATGATCACATCACATTCTACACGAGTTCGGAGTGAAATCAGAAACATTTGTGAATATATGGTTAATCTGTAACTTTTAATTAATGCATTGTAAATGAAGTTGGAACAATAGCTTTAGAGCTCCGATCTATCTTTCCAACGAGATATAATACGCTCCAAACGGATAAACACACAGCAAGATATGAGTGTCACAAATACTTGGCCTTATCTCTATGATTTGGCGTTTTAAGCGAAAATAGAGCACTTTTAGCGTAAATACAGTGTATTTTAGTAATTAGGGAATCATCCCTTGATATTTTGAAACCAGCGCCAGAAGACAGGTTTTATAACTCGGTAAGATCGTTCCAACGAGATGTTAAACGCTTTTAACGGCAAACAATAGAGCAAGATATGTTCGCATCAAATTCTACACGAGTTCGCAGTGAAATCAGAAACATTTGTGAATATATAGTTAATTTGTAACTTTTAATTAATGCATTGTAAATGAAGTTGGAACAATAGATTTAGAGCTCCCATCTATCTTTCCAACGAGATATAATACGCTCCAAACGGATTAACACACAGCAAGATATAAGTGTCACAAATACTCAGCCTTATCTCTATGATTTAGCGTTTTCAGCGAAAATAGAGCACTTTAAGCGTAAATACAGTGTATTTTAGTAATTAGGCAATCATCCCTCTATACTTTGTAAGTAGCGCCTGAAGAAAAGTTTTAGAACTCGGTATGATCTTTCCAACGAATTATTAAACGCTTTCAACGGCATAAAATAGAGCAAGATATGATTGCATCAAATTCTACATGAGTTCGGAGTGAAATCAGAAACATTTGTGAATATATGGTGAATCTGTAACTATTAATTAATGCATTGTAAATGAATTTAGAACAATAGCTTTAGAGCTCCGATCTATCTTTCCAACGAGATATAATACGCTCCAAACAGATAAACACACAGCAAGATATGAGTGTCACAAATACTTAGCCTTATTTCTATGATTTAGCGTTTTCAGCGAAAATATAGCTTTTTTAGCGTAAATACAGTGTATTTTAGTAATTAGGCAATCATCCCTTTAATTTTGAAACCAGCTCCTGAAGACATGTTTTAGAACTCGGTAAGATCTTTCCAAAGAGATATTAATCGCTTTCAACGGCACAAATTAGAGTAAGATATGATCCCATTACATTCTACACGAGGTTCAGAGTGACATCAGAAACATTTGTGAATATATGGTTAATCTATAACTTTTAATTAATGAATTTTAAATGAAGTTGAAACAATAGTTTTAGAGCTCCGATCTATCTTTCCAACGAGATATAATACGCTCCAAACGGATAAACACACAGTAAGATATGAGTGTCACAAATACTTAGCCTTATCTCTATGATTGAGCGTTTTCAGCGAAAATAGAGCACTTTTAGCGTAAATACAGTGTATTTTAGTAATTAGGCAATCATCCCTTGATATTCTGAAACCAGAGCCTTAAGACATGTTTTATAACTCGGTAGGATCTTTCCAACGAGATATTAAACGCTTTCAACGGCACAAAATAGAGCAAGATATGATCACATCAAATTCTACACGAGTTTGGAGTGAAATCAGAAACATTTGTGAATATATGGTTAATCTGTAACTTTTCATTAATGCATTGTAAATGAAGTTGGAACAATAGATTTAGAGCTCCGATCTATCTTTCCAACGAGATATAATACGCTCCAAAAGGATAAACACACAGCAAGATATGAGTGTCACAAATACTTAGCCTTATCTCTATGATTCAGCGTTTTCAGCGAAACTAGAGCACTTTTAGCGTAAATAGAGTGTATTTTAGTAATTAGGGAATCATCCCTTGATATTATGAAACCAGAACCTGAAGACAAGTTAAAGAACTCGGTAAGATCTTTTCAACCAGATATTAAACGCTTTCAACGGCACAATATAGAGCATGATATGATCGCATC